GTCAGGGCTACACAGAGAAACCCTGTCTCGGAAAAAAAAAAAAAAAAGAATGCAATGTTGTGTTTAAGAAGGCCTCTGTGCCCTGCACAGAAACAGGAACAAGCCTATATGGGGCCCTGTCTGTGTCCCCTAAAAAGAATAGGTAGGGGACACATCATTATTCAGGGTCTTCCCTGCACAACCAGGAATCTGGAAGGCCTAGAGGACCAGGCACCTTGCCCAGTGCCACAAGGAAGAGCACACTCCTCACCCAGCCTCAGCTAAGGACAGGCCTAGGCTGAGAAAGACCCCACCCAGCATTAGCCAAAGGAGTCTGGACACCCTGGGTGCACAGCCAGCCTAAGGAGGTTCCCTACAGCTCTGCAGGGACTGAGCCTGGTCTCCAGCGTGTGTGCGTCTGGTGCTGCCTGGGCTGGGGCGTTGGGTCTTGGATCCACCCTGTGTGCTGGAGCTGTGGAGCTGTGCTGACTGCACACTGGCATCTTCTTTTGGAGGAGTGTCTTTACAAATGGTCTGCATACATGGGAGGGAACCCCCAGGGCGGGAGTGTGGCAGCATTTATTTGCACTTGTGCACGTAGTAGCCAGTGATGTAGCCCAAGATGAAGATGATCCAGAAGAGGGCCACTCCACCCAGCACCTTCATGGCGATCCCCAGCTTGCCCGAGCACAGCTTCTGGGAGATCCTAGAGTGAGAACCGCCAGTGAGCCCAAGCCAGGGCTACAGGGAGGTTCCTGAGTGGGCTTGGGTGGGGAAGGAGGGCTAGATCAGGAAAAAGCTTGAGCGGAAGTGGAGGTCTGAGTGCTTTGCTGGAGTTGGGAGTTACCTGTCTACCCAAAGGTAAGGCCCAGAGCCGTGGGTACCTGGGTGGGCTGTCATGGGGGCTGGAGTTGGACGAGGCCAGTCAGTGCGGTGGGGGCCACGGCCTGCTGGGATTTTACCTCCTATAGCACGGGACCTCCTCAGTGCTGGACCCGGCAGTCATGCTGACCTCATCCCGGCTGCTGCTGTCCCACCTGCTGTAGTGGACGCCACTCTCCTGGGACTGCATGCTGCAGGCCTGAGGTGGGCTACAGCATGCAGAGTGGAGACAAAGACAGGCATCAGGCCAGACTCACCAAAGATGGCATGGAGTCCCTGTTAGGGGAGGGTCATTCTGGAAGGAGGGGGCGGTACTTACCAAGATAATTAGAAATTAGCTCAGGGTCGAGTCAAAAGGACTAAGCAAAGCAGGAATTCCAACCCAGGGGGCAGGGCAGTGGCCCAGCCCTGGCCCTCAGGAATGTAAGACACTGCTTTTCCAGCTGGGGCCTCTTCTGAGGGGTGGGGGACTCTCCTCCCTCGAGGGACATTTATCAGGGGAGGCAGCCAGTGCCGCCCTCAGAGACCAGGGAAGTGTAGCTGCCAAGGACCTGATAACTGTCTTCCTCCCCAGCCCAGCCGATAAGGTCTGGAGCTGCCCTCCAAGAGAGGCTGGCAAGGGGAGGGATGAGCAGTGGCTGGTGGCTGGTACTGCCAGTCCAGCCAGCCAGGGAGCTGCCTGGTAGCAGCTGTCCTCAGCCCCTCCTCCACCTGCTGCCCCTGAGAGGAGTCAAGAAGGGCTTCTGGGGGCCCAGGGGCTCCAGAAGGCTGTAGATTGTAGATTAGCAGGAAGTAGGGCCACATGAATGCCTAGAACAGGAAGGTTCCTGTCACTAAACCATCCCTGACTCCCTCAGGGTCAGCCATTCCCAACAGACAGTGGTTTGGGAGGAGTCTCCGTGACAATGTTGCCATGCATGGCTGCTCCTGCCTACCTACAGGCCTGCACTGGACACTTGACTAACCCTCTCATGTACCCTCTGACCTCTCCTGTTACCTCTTGTTTACCTAAGGGGAACAGGGCACACACCACAAGTACAGGCTGTCAGATAAGGATAAGGTTAGGCCTCCTGTGTCCTAGGTATCCAAGTGTCCCCTCATGGCACCCAGCTCCAGGACCCTGTCTCACAGAAGCTGAGGCAATGGGAATATAGCACATCCTAGATAACCCCAAACACAGAGTGACCCAAAGGCACAGCAGGCCAGTTGGCTACAGAAAACCTCTGCAGTAGCTCAAGATGCCAGGCTGGGTGGGGGAAGAAGAGAGCCATCTTAAGATGCCACAAGTGTCTTCAGATGGGGGTCCAGCTGACAGCCTGAGGTGGTGAGTGTTGCTGAAATGAGGGCTGTTTGCTGAGTACACCAGCTACCTGCACAAGGCTCAATCCCTTCCTCTAGGTGGGCAGTGGGGTGTTGGCCCCCGGTGGCAGCCTCGCTGGGATGAGTTTAATACCCCAGTGCCTCCTTTGCCGTGTTACCAGCCCTGGGCAAAGTGCCAGGTGGAGCAAATGCAGAGGGAGAGCTTTTGCTTTTTCAGAGTTTAGAGCAGCCACCTCTTTCCTGCTTATGTATGGCTGGAGAGCTGTACTACACATGCAGTCTAGATAGCCACGCAACACTAGCCCTACCAGGGCTGTCTCTAAATCTACAGCAAACCCTTCCCACATGTAGAAGGGGAGGGATGAGCAGTGGATGGTGGGTATGAGGGTCTCCCCAATTTGTTCAAGCCTGAGGTAGTGGGATCCTGTTATTTGCCACCCATCTGTGGCTGGACATGGAGCTCCTTGGGCCAGGCTCTCCAGGGCTTTGTGCACCCTGATCTGCACAACCGTCTTAGTCATAGACACAAGTGGGAAGGGCCTACAAGGCCCCTTCAAACCCAGAGCCTCCCCTGAAGGGGTGTGCACGCAGGAGTCCAACATGCGGTTGTTTCATAAGGCTCGTTTGCCCACAGAGCACCTCTGAGACCCCAACTTACAAAGTCGAGTCGTGGTGGGGGCTGAAGCCTCCGGAGTTCAGAAAGGCTGTCGGGGTCTGGTCAGTGGATCCCACCTTCCCCCAGCAGGGTAAGCCAGGATGTGAGGTAGGAGGGTTGGTGCCTCAAGCCTTAAAAAAAGAAAACAAGGGTGGGGAAAGGAGCAGCTAGCTAGAGGAAAGGGAGAAACTGGCTCCAGGGTTATTCCTGGGTCCCAGCAGGAGCTGGGCCGGCAGTTCCGGGCCTGATAGCCCGGGGTAGTTAGGCCGATCTAGCCCTTCCCACTCCGGAATTCTAGGGCTAGGGAAGCTCTAGCCCCGGAGGACCTAGGAGTGGTAGGGGCGTGCTGGCAGTCCCACCTCCCTGGGCTGCAATGGGAAGCAGCAGTCCGCTGAGTGCGTCTCACCTGCGCCCCTCGCCAGGGCCGCTGCGCAAGCCCGGGACGCGTCTCCAGCCCCCTGGGTGACGAGGGCGGGGCCCGAGGTTGGGGGCGGGGTCTGAGGGGCAGGACCGAGATGAGGGAGGCCAGGCTGGGAAGGGGGCAGTGAACCGGGAAGTCTAGTCCCGATGGGGAGGGGCAGACCCTCCTGGCTGCTGGAGCAGCAGAACCGAGCGGGCTGCCGGAGAGGCCTGCAGAGGGCGCCAGGTCCTTGCCCAGCCTCGCAGAGTCAGGCTCAGAGAAGGCTCGGTATCCAGGCCTTCTGCTCCCCAAATGGAGGACAGCGATGGTGCTCCTAGACTGGTGGCGCCCAGTGCACGGGCGGCTGCAGGATTAGAAGAGTGTATGCACAAGATGTGGGTAAAGAGCCACAGACGCATGAGCTTTGTATTATATTCGGCAGGGTACGTGGCACAGACTTAAGTCAAAACATCCTGACCACAGACACCAGGAGGCCGTGGATTGGGAAGAGCGGTACTCAGCACCTGCACCACCTACCCCATCCCACTCTTTCTCCTTCTTCCAATGGGGCCCCAGTAGCAAGAGCATGCCCCGGGCAGAAGTGTTGAGTCTGAAGCGCATGTGGGGGTCGGGGGGAGTGGGGGCGCAGTATCTGGCCCTCTGCAAAGTGAAGCCTGGAAGAGAAGCCCTGGAGGTGTAGATCTCCCCACAAAGAGGCTGTGGCCCAGGAGAGGGAGCTGTGGCATGGGACATGGCCCAGGTAGTTCAGGTGTAAAGGTCCTGTAGGTAACCAGAGAAGATGAGACAGTGGCCAACTCTAGGTTTAATTATCACCGAGCAGCCACAGAGGTGGCTTCCCCAGCAGGGCCCTGGCCTCTGCCGGGCAGGATGCGTCCTGGGGTCCCAGCCAGGGCTACTTGGAAGTTAGCTTCTTGAGCTTGCTGGGCAGGGAGATGTCTGACTGCTGCAGCGGGGGTACCTTTACGCCTTTTTGCTTCAGCTGACTGTAGAAGTCACTTCTCTCTGTGATGATTTTCTGGACAAAAACAGTCAATGGGGTGGCCTCCAGCTCCACACCTCGGTCTCCCATCGCCCACCCAGGACTTGCCGCAAGCGGGCAAGTGCAAACCAGAAACTCTGCTTCTGACGTGTGGTATCCCTGCCAGGGCTGTGGTGGGGCTGCAGGGTTGATGTCACAGTAGGCAGGGAGGAAGGAGAAGATGCACTTGTCCCAGGAGTCAGCTCACACCCGACCTTCACTAAGCCCACCCCTTCAGTCAACATGGCACTGAAGGGAACTTACACGATCAGAAGCTTCTGTTTCATCTTATGCAGAAGGGCCCGGCTGCTCCCTCCCCAACCCTAGCCCTGTTCTCACTCCTAGCACAGGACCTTGGGCATCTTCTGTCCTTCTGCTCCTCTTCCCTCCCCACCAGCACACACAAGGCCAGAGGCCTGTCCCCAGGTTCCCGCCCTCCAGAGGTGGCAGTCACCCAGGCTCCCCACAAGCCTAAGGGAAATGTGGGCAATGCAACGCAAGGCCTAGACCTTGGGAGCAGAGTGGCTGCTAATGAGGTGTGATCCTGTGTGGCACATGACCCCAACCAGAGCAGCCTGGTACCTCAGCAATCCCCAGGGTTCTGGCGCCCTATACCTTTAGGGTAGCCATGTCCATCCCCTTTATAAAGGGAAGCCCTACAATTCAGAGAAACACAAAGCAGCTAGGATTAGCACCAAGGGCTGGGGAGTGGTGATCACTCCAGTTCACAGGCACAAAGCCCGCACCCTCAGGCTCCTCTAAAGCTCCTGCTCTGGGGGACTCTAGGTCCATAGGAGCTGGCAAGGCTGAGGCCAAGAGGGAGGGGTCTGTGCCAGGACTCTGGCCCAGCAGCTTCTGTGGAGGGGGCTCCACCATAGAGAACCATAGAATTCAGGTAACTTGTCCCTCTCCCTGTGCAGGCATGAGGGTTAGGGGCAACTGAGTGTCCCTCCTCCCTGAGGCCAAGAGCAGCTCAGACTCTCCAACTCCATGCTAGAGCTACCCCAGGGATGGTCTGGTCCCCTCTGGTTGAGCAGGGAAAAAGGACAGGCCTGGAGTTACAATGCATGGGTGACGTAGCTGGGGTGAGAACTGGGTTTCTGGACACAGCTCAGGCTCCCCTCCTCCCCCAGCCCCTGCGATGGGCAGTGGGGGCACAGCTTGGCTCCCCTCCTCCCCCAGCCTCTGCGATGGGCAGTGGGGACACAGCTTGGGTCCCCTCACCTGCAGCGACTCCAGGATGTAGTTGTCCGAGAGCTCAGTGGACAAGCTCTTGGTCCCACTGACACTGAAGACAGCCTGAATGATCTTATTCCTTAGTCTCTCGAGCTGTGAACAGAGGTGAAAGACATGGCCTACTGTTACCGAGAAAGATGCCTGGCCCTGCCGCCATAAGCCCTGCAGGCCAGGAAGGTATTTTCTTGCTCCTGCTTGTCATGGCTGGAAATGGGACTTGCCTAAGAGCTAGAATGTTCTGGATCAGACCCCAGTTCCTGGGTGGCCCCACATTGAAGCACAAAAGTTGTAACATGCCAACACACTTATTTTTTTGTTCTTAAACTAGAAAAGTGCACTTCCCCACCAGAAGTCCACTCACTTGCTAGGAAGCTCCCTACCACTGAGATATATTCCTAGCTCTATATATGGTTTTAAAATGTCAGCACAGGGCTGGAGAGATGGCTCAGTGGTTAAGAGCACTTGCTGCTCTTGCAGAGGATCTGTGTTCAGGTCCTATCACCTAACAGGACTCAGGACACACAGCTGCCTATAACTCCAGCTCCAGGGGATCTGATGCCCACTTCCAGCTTCTATAGGCATGTAGACACAGACTCACACATGCACATACATAAAAATACATATTTTAAAAATAAAATAGTGACACAAACAAAATATTTTTGTTTTAGTTTCTAGCTGCCACTGAAGACATCAGACTCTCGTTTGTTTATTTTGCTCTAATTTTATTTTATATGTATGGGAGTTTTGCCTGAATGAACGGCTGTGTACCAAATGCATGCAATACCCACAGAGGCCAGAAGAGGGCATCAGATCCTGTGGGACTGGAGTTGCATGTGGTTGTGAGCTGCTGTGTGGGTACTGGGAATTGAACCCATATACTCTGGAAGAGCAGCCAGAGCTCTTAATGGCTAAGCCTCTTAACAGTTCACTCCTTCTCTACAGACTATCAGTTGTTTAGACAGATCTCTCTCTATTATCTATGATGTAAATCCCTTAAACCTTGACAATCAGAAAACAGCCATGGGGGCCAATGTCAAGCCAGTTAAAAACCCTAGTGTAGCCGGGCGGTGGTGGCGCACGCCTTTAATCCCAGCACTCGGGAGGCAGAGGCAGGCGGATCTCTGTGAGTTCGAGGCCAGCCTGGACTACCAAGTGAGTCCCAGGAAAGGCGCAAAGCTACACAGAGATAAGACACCATGGCCAAGGCAACTTATAAAAGAAAGGTTTAATTGGAGCTTTGGGTTTGAAGGGCTGAAGTCCGTGATGGTGGAGCAAGGGCATGGCATACATTCATAAGAGCTTATACATCTTGACCCACAGGTAGGAGGCAGAGGGAGACACTAGGAATGGTAGGGTCTTTGGAAACCTCAAAGCCCATCCTCCAACAAGGCCACACTCTATAATCCTGCCCAGGCAGTTCTATGAACTGGGGAACAAGTGTGTAAACATATGAACCCATGAGAGTCATTCTCATTCAAACCACCAGATTTGACAAGATCTTAGCACCCACATGGGGTGTTCACAGCTCCCTGTAACTCCGGCTCCACAGGAGTCTGAAGCTTCTGGCCTCTGCAGGCATCCGCGCTCACATGAACTGGTACCCACATACATACACATGATTTTCTTTAATTCCAGCATGGAGGGGGATGGGCTCCCAAGGTCCCACCCCTAGCCGAGGAACTATTGGCAGTTAATGACTGCTATGGGAAGGAGTCACTTTTCTTCGAGTGGTGATCACTGACTGGTTGTTCATGCCCCCCAGTGTGTGAACCCACAGCCATTCACATAGGAGCAGCACTAATTGGACTCAGTGGATTATTAAAAAAATCAATTAGAAAAGATAAGAGGACTTGAAGCAGGAGGGGGGATAATGGGGAGGAGCAGCAGGGAAGTGGTGGGGTGAGGGAGGGCAGACACGGGCATCATCACCCCCCTCCTGCCTTCTTTTCTAGCTGAACCCAAGGCCCACTTTCTTGATAAACAATGCTGGTCCTTGCTCTCTGTGTTTCCAGAATGTTCCATAGGCCCTCACGCTCTCCTCCACTACTTCCCAAGCCTCAATTCTATACTGCATGTTGCAATCTGAGGCAGAATGAGCCAGAGCCCTTGTTACTGGGCACATGGTCTGTGTGGGTGGGCGGTGGGTAAGGATTTAGGTAGCCATGAACTTGAACCCTCTGTGGGGGGCAACAAGCATTACCCTGGCCTGAGAGGACTCCAGGATCACACGAGTCTGTTGCTCTGCTTGCTGGATGGTCTCATTCCGGCTCTGGAGGTCATCATGGAGCTCTTTCCAGCGCCTCA